TAGGTGAACGGCTTGATAACTATATGGGTGGAAATCCAAACCCAACTTATGGACAAATATACGGAGGTGCTCCTGGTGTCGGAGGTTATGGTGGTGGATATGGAGGTGGATATGGTGGTGGATATGGTTATCAATACGGATGAGTGTAAATGTATCTTCTCAAACAAGATCAATATAAACCATGCAGTTTCTTCCAACAATACATACTAACAAATATTTAAAGTTCATTTTTATCTAAATAATAAACAAGTACTATCATAACTTTCTATTTGTGTCTTACTTAAGCTGATTGAAAGTTCGAGATGCATTAACATCCAATAGGAATGATGAATGCATGGACCATGGTTTAGCACCACTAATTGTCAAAAGACTGAGAATCGAATGAAGTAACTTGGTCAAAGTTAATCAAGAGTTATGCTTCTGAAAAAAGCATTAAGATAGTGTCGACAATAATTAAGAGTCAAAGAGAGTCCATGAAAGGAGAACCAAATATGATACACTACAGCATATGAAAAATCTCGAGTGTTTGGTTTTATTTTATGAATTAGAAGCTTATTCATGAAAACTTCTAAATCTAAAACATCAATATTTCCTAGTGTACTTGTGAATAGTTATAAAGATAACAATATTGATCACGTCTATGTAGAAAAACGGTTGAGAAATCTGATTGAAATTGACTGTCCGAAAATAATCACAAAAATCGATCAAATTCAACGAAATAATAGATTTTTTTCAGACAATAATGAATTAAAGCTGATTTATCGGCAAATAATCTGTTATATCGATTAGAGACGTAGTCAATTTTAATTGACTTCTAAAGAACCGTTAAAATTCTTTTTACATGTAGTTCTCAACCATGCAAAAAAATTAGAGTAAAAGTCGGATTAAAATTTATTATAGTTTGATTGGAAATCAGTCGAAATCATGCACTTTTAATCGATCATGATGGATTAAGAATCGGTTTGCAATCTAAAATAATGAAAAAAAAAAATCAAATTTCATCGATTAATCTGTTCTATATCTATTGTAATAGATTCAGTTTTGATAGAAAAAATGATCATAATTCACGTAAATCAAAGAAGATTAGTTTTAGATCACACAATTGACCAGCAAGCAAAATCGATTAATAGTTGCGGAGCCAGAGGGTAGCTTAAGGTGGTACAGCTTTCTCCAGAAAATTTTGAGCTCACTCTTGAAATGAGACGAACTTATATTATATACGAAGAAAATACTTACTTTTCAGTTTCAAACGGAAGCTGAGTTCACTCTTAGCCAATCACAAAGTTTTTCTGGCTCGCTCACTATCGATAAAGATAGATTTTTTTTACTAGTCAAATCTTAGTAATCGATTCATAATCTGACAGATTAAATCGTTTTGTTATTTAATCTATTAAAATCCTTTTTCTTAAATATAATTCAAATTATCGATTTTCCCGCATAGAATCTACATAATCGATCAAAATTGATAAGAAGAAGATTAGAATAACATAAAGTATTTTCTTAAAACTGAAAAATCAGATCTCAATATATTTGAACGATGTAATTCAAATTAGTTGTAATCTGATTTATCATGATAAATTTTCCCAGAGGCTTGCTTCATTCAGTAATGAAAAAACAAACATCTTGGCTATGAATGACTAATTCGAAGCTCGTATTACTTGTTGATCTAGCTGATTGTAAAAGCAACTGTGATTTGGTTATCTACACTCTAATTTGTTCAAGCACTGTTCTATAACAGCCAACTGATCACAATCATAAAGTTTGGAAATGAAAGATTTAAACCATGAATAATCAGAACCTAATCTCATTTTGGGGATATTACTGAATTAAAAATAGACTAAAATGGCATGACCCTCACCCGATTTTAATGATTTTTAATAATATTAATCGATTTTAATGAGGTTTTAATCGATTTGAATCTAATTTATCGGGGTTTTGCCTTATACGCGTGAGTATGAATCGGTGTCGTATACGTGGAAGTGTATGAAAGGTAGGATTAGTCCTACATTTACCATTTGTCGGCGTGAGAAGTCAGAAAAAAGAATAAAAAAAAATCGAAATTTTTTAGTTAAAACTCGAGAAAAACGCGTTTTATAGTCATAGAAATGAAAATCGATTAAAATTATTAAACATCATTAAAATTGAATTAAAATCAGATTTTTTTGTCGCTTTTTTTTACATGGGAACTTATATACGAGTTTCAATTTTACTATGTTTGCGTGGCTTTGATTCAATAAACAACTTTATAGTTTGTGAATAAGAGGAATTCAGATGATCATGGAAAATTAGGAAGCTTATGTTCGAATCTAGAGAAAAACTACTTCTCTTCGATATGGGCGATTAAGATCAATCAAAACCAATGAAAAGATAAGAATAAATTAAAACTAATTAAAAAATAATAATCCAGGGTGTTTCAAACGTCTGTGAGCAAAGTAAATTCGAAGAGCTCCGCTATTTATCAAACTTAACCAACTAATTTGATTTTTGCAAATGATAGGTCCCACTGTGAAGTTTGTTTTTGTTACTTGTAAACTTTACAACTACTGTTCAAAGCTATTACTTTCGATTGAAATCCAAAAAGTAGTCGTTTCTCTTTTAATACTTCAATTGTTTGCATTTTTTGTGGCATTTAGATTGGGCATATATTGCGTCATCGTTTCCATGTATTTGTTTCGATATGTCACTAGAAAGAGAAACATAATAGTATCAGGTCTGGTGATCATGAAGCTCATTAGATCAGTTCACTTGTTCTAGTTCACCGGTCATCGTTCAGAAACATAAAATGATTTTATGAGCTCTATAATTATCGGACTTTACACTATTTGACTTTTTGTTATAGTGGAATATCGAAACAAATGCATACCACTAAAACTTTTTGAAAATCGAAAAACGACTGCTTTTTGTATTTCACTTAAGAGTAAGAGCTTTAAACAATATTTGTGAAGTTTGCCCGTATCAAAAAAAAAAATAACTTTACAGTGGTACCTATTATTTGAAAAAAATTAGTTGATTAAGTTTTATAAATAGTGAAGTTACTCGAATTTACTTTCCTCACGGATCTTTGGGACACCCTACAGACCAGATTAATACGAATAAGCATATATACTTCAAAAGGATCTAGTTCTAATATATACGGACGATGATATCGATTTGTAACTCTAACTTCACGTCGTACATAAGTGACGATCTCCATCTTTGACGACTTACAACGAATATTTCTGATGTTATCATGGATGTTGAAAAAGCCAATGGAGATATTACACGAAACTGATAGAATTGGTTTATTCATTCAGAACAAAAAACAAAGATTGGTTTTTGACCGTTGAAGACTTTTTATGACAAAAACCTCTAAATCATTTTTGTCCACTTTTATTTGTTATCTGTTGAATGGCTTTTCTTTTTTCTTGCATTCATTTTCTTATACTAGGGACAACAACAGGTAAAAAAGCTTGTCAGCACAGCCCCTACGTGGCTAAAATGTGGAAGTCACATACCTTCTTTAGCCTGATTATACTGATACAAAATATGTAAAGTGAAAAAAAAACTGTACCACTTTACAGTTGTTTTCCACCATCATCGATCGGCAGAAATGGAATCTATTTTATTCCTTCTTGAGTCTTAAAAAGAATGTTTTTGCTTTCTTTAGAGGGGCCCTATTTTTGTTGCTACTGGCTCATTACTTTAATTTTTCGTATTTTTTTCGCGTTCTTTTTTTTTTAATTTATTTGTATTATCATTACAATCATTCATTCAATCGGCAAATATGTCTCTTACACATATACATTTAACCTACACCAAGTATCAATGAACTATTATTATATCTCAATCAAATACATATTTTTATCTGGAGGGTGTGGGTAGGTGGGTACGAGTGTGGGTGTGATGAGGGTAACAGATGTCCTTCCAGTCAACACCCACACCCTAAGACTGTTGATATGAGTGACTGAAAGGAAGAGAATTCTTTTTCAATTCGATGCACGAATGCCCTGTGTAGCAGAAGCCACGTTTCGGTTGTCAATATCGTGATGTCGTACAACTCCACGGTTGTCTATCGACGTTGCAATAGCATGAGAGTTGTTGCTCCAACTTAAAAATGTACTTTTTTCTCTATTCTTTGTTTGCAAAGTATAAAACACATGAAAAGAGAAACTTTTTGATGTATGGTAGAAAGGCAAACAATTTCTTCGTCGCTTACTCTATCGAAGAAAGTGCACAAAGAAGTTGCACATACTTTTTCTTTTTCTTCTCCATGCTATTCACTAGTAAGAAAGAATTGTGTCTCTTAACAAAAAATATTGCATTGCTTCTTTTGAACCACAGTTCACTTTCACAGGACCAATCTTAATTCCGACACGCTCTTAGATTGTGACCATTGACGCCAAATCAAACTGTCAGTGCTGTTGCAAAATTTAGAAAAAGTTCGAGAATGTAGTATTTAAATGTGAGAGTTGGTTCACGTATCGATGAATGCGGGAGATAGTCTTCTGCTATTCACACGTCACCTAGCTATAAACCGAAACTCACCCACGAAGACGATAAACGGTTAGAATTGTATTGAAACGATTTTCCCAAGTGTTTAAAGCGCTTTAACGCATGTAAACATGCTTATCGACAAAATCTTTACTTTAAACGCCTTTTCACCATTTATGTTCCAAAATCCTGACCGAAATCATTAAAAGTATCATCATTCTGTGTTTTTTTCCGAAAAAACACGTTTAAACAATATTGTGCTAGTTTGCTGTGTTTATCAAAACATAAGTTGTAACTTGAAAAATTATGTTATTGCTATGCTCTCAGTAAGTAGTGACATAATAGCATACTAGTTGCTAATCGTCGGTAGTTGTTACTAGTCACTTGTTACTAGCAAGTGGTAAGGGATTAGTTTAACTATTCTGTAGTATCTATACTAATATTGACTTTTTCAAAGAACATTATAAGATCATTTTGTCCAACGTCAATTTATTTTACCGTACATTTAAGAAAGTCAACTCTAGTTTGATTGTATACTGTGCAATACGTTAAAGAATAAACATGTAATAGTTATGCTCAAATACTGATATAGTAAGCAGTAATTACCACTTAAAACACTGCATTTTAAGATATCATATTGATGTCATAGATTACTCCTCTCTTCGCTTGCATA